TTGATTAACAGTCCTGCTTGCTCTAACACTGTTTCCTGTCTTAAAACAGGGAACCCTAAGCAGATCCGAATGGGATGCAACCAGTAAGTTCAATTACATAAACCATTTTAATTTAGAATGAAGAAACTGACTTTATAAAGATAGGAAATACTTACTGTATATCGTCTTGTTCTCTGCAGGTATCTACTTGGTGTTTGTGTTTCAGAAAATGTCCTGATACTTGAAAACCAGCTCTCATCACAGCTTACCTCACCTCTTCCTCACTCTGTCTGTACAGTTTATCTTTCTGTTTTGCTTTTTAGATATTTTTCTTTTTTAAGAAAACATGAGGTTGTTGGAGAAAAAAAATAAACTGAAAATAAAACATGATGCCCTCTCCTGGTTTCTTTTATTAAATCTGAAGTCGATGGGTCTTTGAGTCATGTAGGGTTTTTTAAACTGCTCTTTCATTGGTTCTTCAGTTGGCACTAAATTATAATTAGTGATTATTATATTTTATTATTCAACTAATTTCTACAAAAATGCATAAAAATAAAAAAAATCAGATGATACAAAAACGTTCCTCTAAATATTTTGAGGGGACCTTTAAGGCATCACTGTCTGCATTTCGCAAATGACCGCTGATAGTCCAGATTATGTCAAATACTTAATGCCACGTTAATGCGCTTGTCTGAATATAGAACTTGAATCTGAAACCTGATCCTGTCGGCATGTTGCTTGTCAGAATTAAGTAGCAACAGTAGCTCTACTGGGAATAAAAGCTATCAGGTGGTTGTTTACATAGGTTGCCTGATGTTTATAGCTATTTAGACACAGTCCAAGACATTCTCTATAAAACTGGGGTCCAACCTCTTCTGTGTATGTAAATCTAGTGAGAATAATGAAGTAATGAGCCTCAAAGTATCCAGGAACCATTCTCTATTTCAGTTTAATCCATGTTCTGTTGTTGGCTTCATCAAAAGCTTGGATGCATAAAAAACACAAGGTTCCCTAATCCAGGAATCTTAGTCTGCAACAACTTTGCTTTATTGAATGAAATACATTAATACTTCTTGGTCATTATTTTACAAGAAAAAGAATCCCATGTTTGGAAAAATGAAAGGTAATTTAGCTTTAAAAGCTCTAAACTCATTGTGTTCAGCTGGACTGAGGATGGTGACTGAACTGTAAAGTTTCTTGTGTTCTCTGTTTTGTAATGTGTGATCTGTGTCTTTAATGTGGTCAACAATGAGAAAACCCATGACCCATGAAATAACTTGTCACATTTTTGAGGAAGGATTGTAGTCTTTTTATTGCATATAGTACAGCATCAGTATGTCAAGGTTAGTAGATGTTGATTTCTGTTACTCTCTGACCACCAGATATAGACTTGGTTTTTGCCAGACCTTATTTTTATATATATATATATATATATATATATATAAATATACTCACTCGCCTTAATTTGAAAGTTTGTTCTGTATTCTGTCGTTTACCTGATTTTGAAAAGATTTGATGGTTTCAAGTTCTGTTAGTTCAAAGTGAACCCAAAGCATTACACCAGCTCCACCTTGCTCCACAGCTGGTATCAGGTTTCTGTTTTTTATAAAATGTCATGTTGTTTTTGGCTTTTGAGTTTCTTTAGGTGAGAACTGTCCATCACCACTTTAAACCGCTTCTTCTTTAGTGCTTTTTTAGCAGAGATTTTTTGAGAGTCCTGTTTCCGTCAGTATGCTTGAATTGTTGGATGCATGCCAAATCTGTTGTCATAATTAACATTTATGGGGTTAAAATAAATAGTTTAATCTAGAGGGTTTAAGCAGTTAGGATAAAATATATCCATCTTTGCATAATAAACCTGTTTCCAAGTTGAACTTTTTGAGTTACTGAGATGAATCGACTTTGATATTTATTTATTGAGATGTTGCTGCAGGTTCTTGGAAACATGAACTGAACTTAAAACTTTTATTCTTTGATGGAAATCTGGGTATCGGTGATGATTTTTGCTAAAACATACTGACCCCTACTGGTTGAAAAAACAATTTCTATTAAAATTCTTCCATTTGAAGCACTACTACAAAGAAAAAAAAAAGTTTGAATAATGACATTTATTTCCTCTTGGAAAAAAGATGCATCGTTTAATAAAACGTTGCCGTAAAATAAGTGTTTTTCTCTTTTGTAGGATTTAACATAAGGAAGTTATAAGTTCCTGAAAATGAAATCAATCATTGTTGCAGACAGGAATGTCTGTGTTTAAATATAGTGCAGGAAGTTATTTGAGTCTTTGTGTCGTTAGTTACTGTAAGTTTTCTGATAACATGGAAAAACAACTTCATTAAAGTCATTTCTCAGTCGATGCTGCAGACAAGTTAGTATTATTTGTTTGGTTTTCTTGATCTAATTTCTTTCATATTGATTTTGTTTGCCCTAATGGAGGAGCTTTAATCCACCAGTCTGTACAGAACATGTTCCCCTGAACTGGATCAGGAAACGTTGGCTTACTGAGGCTCCCTCTTTCCTGCCCGCAGTGACAGACTCTCACAGCTGCTGCTGCATACGTATGCCAGTTCCTATTTATAAACCAAGTATTTCTGTAAATGCAGGGATGAAAACTAAAACACCTGATTACATAACTTAAGGTTCATTTTACATCTCAAACCAGAACTACGTACCCTGGCTAGCCAGAATGTAAGTAACTCTGCTGAGATACTTCAGTAGAGTTTAAGCAGCAAAAATAAAATCCATTCATGTGATTTTCTGTTTTTTTTTTCCCTCTAACAATATGTGTGTGTGTAATCCTCCCTAATAAATCTCACAAACTGGAGGTTATCGCTTTTAATAATGTGGAATTTTTAGAACATCAGGTTGGATTAAACCTGATGTTCTAAAACCTGGTGCAAAAATGTGCCAATTTATTTACATTTTAACATAAAGGATTTTTATTTTATTTGGGATAACATTTAGTGATGTTATCCCCAAGTGTGACTGTGAAGGCTAACGGCTTTAGACATTCCAGTTTGCTGGTTTGTTCACTTGTTTTTTTAAACTAATAGAATTTTAATTGCCTAAAGGTTTTATCCAAGCATCATGTTAGTTTGATATTACCATTTTCACAGATGCAGATTGTAGCCTCCAGCTGCATTTGAAGCACTGTGACTAAACTCTGTTCACCTCTGTTTTCAATTATGCTGCAGCAGAGTATGAGTTTTAACTGGAGGCCAAAGAGGAAGGACTTCGATTGCTTTTCTGAATCCTTTTTAAAGTTGTTCTCATGATGGACTTTGGTTTGAATGATTGCTTCTCTTGAATCATTATTAATCTCATCCATTAATTTAGGAAAAGTGAAAAAATACAAAAAACACTTTAAACCTCTTATTAAGTGCTATTTTTAGCAGAGACTTTTTGAGAGTCCAGTTTCCGTCAGTATGCTTGATTTGTTGGATGCATGCCAAATCTGTTGTCGTAATTAACATTTATGGGGTTAAAATAAATAGTTTAATCTAGAGGGTTTAAGCAGTTAGGATAAACAAAATATGTCTATCTGTGCATAATGAACCTGTTTCCTATTTAACATTTTTGAATTACTGAGATGAATCTACTTTGACATTTATTTATAGAGATATTGCTGCAGGTTCTTGAAAACAAACTGAACTTAAAAATGGTTATTAAACTATTCAATAAAATGTTATTCTTTGATGGAAATCTGGGTAGAGAGAGACTAAACTCTGTTTGCCTCTCTTTTCAATTACGGTATGCTGCAGCAGAGTATGAGTTTTAACTGGAGGCTGAAAAGGAAGGACGTTGATTGCTTTTCTGAATCCTTATTAAAGTTGTTCTCATGATGGACTTTGATTTAAATGATTACTTCTCTTAAATCATTATTCATCTCAGCCCATCAATTTAGGAGAAGTGGAAAATAAATACAAAAAGTCCATCATAAGAACAACTTTTTACAAGTGGAAAATGTGTCAGCTTCTTATCATCCCAGAACTGGACGATACTCCGGGTCAAACAAAATCTCAGGATATTTAGGTTTACTGTATGAAATGCTACATTTAATGATGGGACCAAAACAAAGAAGCTGACAGTAATGATCCCCTTAAGAAAACTGAGGTTTGCATAGTGCCATCTGAACACAATACTTCCTTGGATGAGACTCTTTTGCGTAACAAAGTGTTGTAATATTCAAGTATTAGGCTAACTGATGGCAAAGAGGATATACGGAAAATCAAATGAATACAGGTTGTGTTAAGACATATTTCAGATAGAAAGGGTCTTGCCAAAGGGTCTTTCCACAATCTACTAAGACATGGCTGCACTTGATTTTTGCTTTAAAGCTCTGAAACTAAATAATCACGTACCTTTTTTTATTCTGTCTTTATGTGTAAACCTTTAAAAAAACAAGTTATTTTTCTATTAGTGATGTTCCTTGTGTTTCAAACTTTCATGCATGTGTCAAATCATTTTAAAGGGAAACTGAGGAAGATGGTTTTGTTTGAATCCAGTTTACATTACTTAACTCTTTCATCCTCCTTTTTTGAGGAATATAAAAATGTTAAGAATAATGTAAAGCATGACTTACAGAGCTATTCAGCTTGCAAATCTAAGCTAATCTTTGCCTTTGAGTACCTGAATTCTAAAGTTTGATTAAAAGTGTTTTAATTAGATTGAACAAGTGCTTGCATTCACAGCACAGTGACCGCACCTTTGAGTTTGACTCTTTATCTAGAGGAGAAAGTAATTTGTAGGTTGATAAAGTGTCTAAATGCCAATGCTTTGGAAATAATGGCACAGTGGGGTTTTGGTTTAAGCATAGTTGTCGGTTTTTAGGTTATTTAACTCTTTTTTTTTTTTTTACATACAATTTGTTGTTATTGAGCATTTATTGCCCAACCCTCCCCTCTGCCCTGTTTAGCAAAGACAAGCTCTGCTATCTGTGATGAAACATGAGCCTAAAGGGGTCATCAATGTCAGGGAAAGATGATCATGTCTGTTCCCTGGGATGACTTGCATACTTTCCACCGTCATGTTAGGGTTTCATCTGTTTACTGTAGAGGCTATAGCCTCAGGTCAGAAAGCAATAGGAAGGAAGGCTGCAGAAAATCAGAAAGTCGAGTTAAGATTTAACAACAAATATCTAAGTTTTTACAATAGAAAATGTCTGATAAAAAGGCTGGGGAAACCTCTGAAAGGAAACCATCAAACAACAAGAATATTAGGAAGCTGCGAGCTGTGAGCATGGTGTGCAGCCTGACTAGCAGTTGGCAGCAGTGGGTGGTGGAGAATGAGAAGAAGCAAGCCAGCGAGCCCACTGGATGGGCTCCGTCTTCTCTCCAAGAACTACCCGAGGAACCAAAGAAGACGTGGACCCCCAAAAAGCCTCCTTCTACCCCAACTTTCTTAACTCCAGAGAAGCTTGCAGAGACTCCAGTGTCACCATCTAAAGGAGCATCCATAGATGAGGACATCAAGATCTCAGAGGAGGCCCATCTTGCATCTCCCATCAAAACAAAGCAGGTGGTGAAGACTGTATCCGGCAGTGTTCAGGAGAAAGGCACAGGTGTTAGCCACCTGGCTGAGAAGATCAAGAGGGACTCTCTTCCACCCGATGAAGAGATTGACCGACTGCTAAAGAAGAAGAGCTCCCCAACGCGCCGCAGGAAGTGCTCCAACATGGTGTCTTCTTTGACAAAAAGCTGGAAGCAAATTGAGAATGACAGGAAGGCTGGAAAAGAAGGAGGAGATGGTCTCAGCTGTGGGCAAGGAGAGAAGGAGAAGGACAGACCAAAGGACCAGGATGTTCAGACAAACAATATGTCTGTCTCAAAATCCGGGGAGCAAAGTGACTCTGAGGAGGAATCTGTCAAGATAAAAAGACCCCAAGTCTCAGTGTGAGTACTGCCGGTGTTTTTCATCTAGGATTCCTTAGATAACAGATCTTTGCATCTTTCCCAGAAGTCCCCTCGCTACATCCGTCCAGTATGTTACATGAAACTATTTGTTTCCTCATTGTTTTAACTCGGTGATAAAAAAAAGACATCCTTGTATGTTCATGGTGGAATGGCTATCATTGTTATCTGACATGTGCAGAAAGCTACCTCTCGATTAACGTTCATACAGTCACCTTTAAAGCTGATGTAATAAATGGAATCAGAAAGCTTCCCATGAAGTTGAAGATTCAACAAGAAACGGATCAGACATCCTTTTTGATTTTGATTTAGATCAGATAAAAAAGAGAAGAAAAAGACAATCAGCTGTGGGACAAATCTTCACAAACATTCAAAACTATCTAGACACATATGCATAGTCTAAAGCTTGTTAGGTAACAGGTCAGTTGACAGCTGGTCAGTTTTTTTTATAGCATTATTCATGCAGAATATAGTTATTAACCCTATTAAAACAGTAACCGCATTTTTATTAAGAAAGAACATTTTTTCTGCCTTAAAGGAGCATTAAACAAGTTTAAAGGCTAATTATTACTTTCTTTTTCCGATACATGCTTGTGCATTTGCCTGAAGCATAAAACGAGTGTTTCTCTACTTATTGCAGTTGCATCTATGGGCTAGTCGGTTCATGAAAATGATTGGGTCATATCCACTGGGCATGGCATGAAGCAGAGCATTCACCTGGCTACTCGGATATCCACACAGCAGAGAGAGTATAACACTTCTAGATAAAACGAAAAGGGCTAAATCATATTGATCGGTAGCAGAATATAATGAAATTAAAAATTGCAAAAGCTTTTAAACAGCTACATTTTCCCACAATTTTTTTTTCAGTTTAGACTTAAATAAAGATTCTGTTTCAAATACGATCAATATTTATAACTTTCTTTTATCTCTGAAGACATTCTGCCTCTAAAAGGAAGGCTTGCTCGCTCACAGAGGTGGATTCCTTTACTCTTCTCCCATGAGCATAAAAGACGCTACCGTCACATTTTGACACATTAGATTTTTCACATTTACAGGTTTACACCAGAGGGGACAAAACTTCTGCAAAATCTCTAACTAGCACTGTGTTCCTTTAAATTAGGGGAAGTTCGAAGACATTCACTCATTCCTCTTATGGAGACACGTACCCAATAAGGAGAGATGTTGCAGTGCTGCATAATTTGGGCTAGTATATAGATGCTGAATTAAAAGGACCTGAGAATGTAGCCTGTTTTGATTTGTCAGAACGATTGTTTAAGACAATCATGCTTCTTTTCTATTTGGTGATTCTATTCTGCAGTTTCAAGAATTGTGGACTTTCAGCTAAATATCCTGCTAAAAAGATTTGAGCATTTTGCAAAATCAGTATCATCTTATTGGACAATATCAATTCTCTGACAAAGTGTGGATTATACTTAAGACATGCAAGTTTTAGAAGTGAGGGTTCTTAAATACTGAAACTTTTAAACAATTTAACCTCTTCATGTCCATCATTGTAAATATAAAAGGAACCCTGTGTATTATGTACAGAAAAAAGGTTGTGCAGTAAGTGGGTATGTATCAGATGTTCAAGAAAGAAAGAAACACCAGTCTGTTCTGTTCAGCCCTTTCTAAAAGGTCGGTCATTAAGTTTAAGGTAGTAATGATATGTTTATAAAAGTAATAATAAAGATAAATATTATTTATATTCCATTTTACATTTGAGTATGTCAAAGAACTGTAAGGAAAGCTTGAATAAGCTCTCCCAGTAGAACTGGAGGAAAAAGTCCAATAGAAAGTCTATTAACCTCTTAAAATTATTATTTTACCACAGATTAAATAGTTTCTACATGTTTCTATTGACGGTGGTAATTTATTTAGTTCATTTTGAACTTAATCCAACAAACATGTTTTGTGTTTTTTAACAGCAAAATTAGCAATTTTACTGCAATTACTATGATGTCTGTTCATTAAATTACGGTCTTTTGTTCTGGGCACAATTTAAGTTATCTTTGGTTATTTTTTATTATTATTTGTGAGCATACCTTAGAGACATTTAAACTTTTTTCATATCAAGTAAAACCTCTTATATTTTTGTGTCTTTTTTCATCCTCTTTCTTTATTGTTGAATCCATTTTCCCTTGCAGATACAAAAAAGAAGCCGAGGATGCCAACAAAATCAATGCCCTTTCTAAGAAGCACAGTGCTGTTGGAAACCTGAAGAGCCGCTGGCAAAACTGGGCCGTGGAGCACACAGTTAACCAGAAACTGAACCCATTCAGTGAATACTTTGACTATGATTACTCCATGTCGCTAAGACTGCAGAAGGGTGAGGAGGGCTACGGACGTCCAAAGGAAGGTACAAAGACCGCAGAGAGGGCCAAACGAGCCGAGCAGCATATCCACCGTGAGATAGACGACATGTGCTACGTGATCAGGACTATGGCTGATCCAGATCCGGACGGGAAAACCCGTGTCACATTTGGACAGCTTTTTGACAGATATGTCCGGATTTCTGATAAGGTTGTGGGGATTCTGATGAGAGCCCGGAAGCACGGAAAGGTGGCGTTTGAAGGGGAGATGCTGTGGCAGGGCCGGGATGATGGAGTCATTATTACTCTCTTGGTCTGACACTTTCACCTGATGATGCTGAAGCTTCAGACACTTAAAAGCTTGTTGGAGCCATCACTGCAGATACCTCAAGAAGACATTTGCTGCTATTCTAAGATACTCCAACTTGATTTTTATTCTTTGTTGTGTTGTTGAGATTTTCTAAGACTTATTTTGGAAAAACTTGGAAATACTCCAATGCTTTTACACCTGACTTTAGGAGGAAAGGTCAACATTTAACCTCTGAAATCTGTGTTTAGAGTACTTTGAACTGAAGACTCATTAGACCTTTGCACTTTATTAACAGCTTTCAACACTAGGGATAAATGTCATTCTTTTTATTGCAACTCTCTCACCTTTTATGTTTATGTGGGTAATAACTAGTTACATTCACTCAAGTACTTTTTCAACAATTTACTTTAGAGAATAGTTTTTCTCCAACATACGTTTTACTTGAATGATATTATTATGATGTATCACTATTTTTACTTGACGGAAATCTTTGTCTGTTCTAACCAGTGGGATTCATTTCAGTGAAAGAAGAGCAAAGCTAGTTTGAAGCAAAAAGGTTCCAGACACACAGTTAAGGTTTGCATCAAAATTGATATAGATATAAATGTTCTAACATGTATTCAACACATACTGTTAGAGTTTTTTTAGAATTTTAGAAAATGTTTCTTCTGGATAAATCAGTTATTTTGCAATTATGCTATTTATTTTATATAAATATACGTACTTGAACATGCTTATTTAAAAATGAAAAAAAGGTAAAGACATATTGAATAAATGAATGAAGTCATCTCAGACAGGGCACGGTTCAAATCCCAACCCTGTTCATGTATGGGCTTTCACGAAAATCATAACTACTAGGTTGATTGGTGGGTCTATATGCTGCTTAGGTGTTAGTTTGTGTATATGAGTTTGTATTTATGTGTTACCTTGCCTTTTGTCTCACTGATCTAATCAAGTCTGTTCTTTAAGCTTAAAGAGTTTTATGAAACAAAAAAAATGAATAAAATGTATATTTGCATTTGACTGGTGGAAATTCAAAACCATCCACTCAGACAAACTAAGACTAACTAGAATACTACAGTATAGTGAACTGTGGTCATGTGATCACAGTGATAACTCAGTTTTTAAGTCATCATTTTAAAAATGTGTTGAAATGTAATAAAACTCCATGATCTGTTCCAGGGCCATCATGTAAATGTTTATGTAATTTAACTATGTGTTCCATTTTTATAGAGAAACCTTAGGTGTTTTATTACATTATAGGGGGATTAATAACCAAAACAAGCTCAGAAGCAGCAGACTTTATTCTCAGGTGAGTTTCAGAATGTGTTTGAAGTGAAGCTAATGCAAAGCATTAAGGTGGAAGGGATCATTTTCATCTATGTGCGGTTTGAGAGTCGTATTATTAGAGAAAATATAATGTAATAGACAACCAGATAATACTGTGAAAATAATGGGTTTGAGGTTTCAACATTTAAACATCATATTTAGTAAGTCTTACAACATGAAAGAATTAAGTTATATAATATTAAAGTAACTCAGGAGAAACATGGTGCTTTCCAGGACTTAATAAAACAAATGGAAAATGGCAGGTTAAGCATGAGAAGAGCAGACATGGAAACCAAGCTGATGAGATGAGAACTAACAATTAATTAACACTGAAACCAAGGAACCTAAAAACAGCATGGGTGATTAGTGAGATGCACCAGGAAAGCACAATCAGCGTGGATGATGAGTCAAAGCAGTGAAGTGAAGGGAAAGTTAAAAACTCAGAGGGAACACAGAGAGCTGAAGCTTTAAAACTTCCACCAAAACTAAAGTCTAAACTAAAATCTACAAGGAAACACACACACAAAAAAAAATGACAGGAATACACAACCACAGACCAATCAGAATTCAAATACCATCAGGACCAGTTTGAAAGTCTTTATAATACATTGGGACATAATAAACTATAGTTATTTATTTCTGTTACATAGGTTAATCCAAAATAATTTAATCTAATCTCTTATTAAACCCTAATTTTGGCTTTACTGACCTTTTATTTTTGTAAATGAATTAGAATGCAAAACTTTTTTTTTTTAAGTTGATTATTATTTATTGGATAAATTAAATGGAGAACTTAAAGGATCCAAACCTTTATGGAACTTCTGTTGCTTTTATTTTATAAAACAACACAAAGACATTTTAAATCATAGCTGTATTTAATTTTTAATGTAATCTCTCTTTAAAATCTGATGTACAAGAAGAAATATTTTTTAACAAAAGGCTTTCTGAAGATGAGACACGGTATGTTGACTGGAAACTCATAGGAGTTGTATGGCAGGTTTTACATCAGAGGTTTTCCTCATTCCTGACAAATGCTGAAAGACGTATGTCTGTCTCCGCAGCAGTTATTAGTTTACTTTATGATAGCTTTGTTAAGCTCTAATTTATCCATAATTTGATAAATTAGATACACATGACCAAATCCTGTAGCCAAAACAAGTAACCATGCAGGGTAAAGTTGGTATTGTTTTTTTTTTTCACTTTGAAGAAAATAAAGACAAAATCTTCGAACTTGACAAAGTTTATGATGCAAAACAATCCAAACATGATCTGAAATTAGAGTTAAAGTACCACCATGATTATTCAGTTTACCATTAGTCTACAAAACTTTTCTCTGAAGTCACATGTAAAATTTAACAGAGAGACAAATCCCATGAAGACTGAAAGCTCTGCCCACATGATGTCACATGATGTGTTTTTTCATACACATTTAACAACCAGTTTAAACCCTGTGTGTAAAATTTTACATGTCATTTAAAGGACATACCAAAAGCAGGTGGAGATATAAGAGACACAGGGAACAAAGCTACACAATCTCTCAGCTACAAGTCCACATAGGATCTTAAATAAGACAGACAGGTAAGAATATATAGATTTTATTTACACAAAATTACAAAACATCTCAGATTAAAACATGTTTTTTTGTTTTTGTTCGGTACACAGAATGCTTTTCGTGGCAATTTTTGCTCTTCTTGCTGCTGCTGTTGCAGCTGATGGTACGTCTCCACAAGTTAAGATATAAAATGCTGTAAAGGACATTTTATTTCCAGAGTGTTTGATCAAGTTTGCTCATGATTTTTCTGCTGTTTTTCCTCCAGTTGACCCTCATTACTCGTTCTCCCCTCCGGTGGGGTCGGGAAGTGGGAGCTCCTACACGATTACTGGAGAGGGAAGGATCACTGCTGTGAGAGTTTGGGAAAACTATAGTAGCTACATTCGGGGGTAAGTCTGATATTCTCTTGGTATTTTAGAGAAAACAAAAAGTTATATATGAGAGTTTGTTCTGCATTTGTTCATATTAATTGTCCTTTTCTCCAGCATCCAGTTCCGCTATGGATATATCTGGTCTCCAGTTGTTGGTTATGCATACGGTTCCCGAAATGAAATTGAATTGCTTGATGGAGAAGCCATTATCCAGATTTCTGGGAAGCATTCTCACTATTTGTATTACCTGGTGTTTGTGACTAACCGGGGTCGCTCCCTGTTTGTTGGTCAGCCCTCTGGCAATTCCTTCAACATGTACCCCGAAAACCCCCAGGCTGAGCTGGTCTTCATCAGTGGCCGGTGGAGTCATGGCATCACCTCCCTGGGAGCCCATTGGGCGATTGTTGATCCATCCTTGAGCCCATCCAATAGCACTGCAGGACATTAAGGTGGAGGGCAGCAGACAGATATTGTAATCTAGAATATAATGTACTGCTGATTTACTATAATGGGTTGAATATAAGTGTTTTGCAACTCAGTAACAAATGGAAGATTTATCTTGAAATTCTGCTTATGCTTATGCTTCTAAGAAATTACAGATGTAATTAAACTGTTTTGTTGTACACTTGAAATCAATATATACAAAGAAATTGAGTCATGATATAATAAGCATGGATTTATAAATAAAAATATTCTCAAGAACTTTTGCTTTCATTTTATCTTTCATTTGATTTGTTTTTAATGTAATACTTGTTGCTGTTGTAAAGCATATCTCTTTTAACTAAAATAAACAAACAACAATACAAAACGGACGTTTAAAATTTAAAGGAAACAAAACAGTTTTATTTAAATATATCTGCAAATTCTGGAAGATCCCGCTTGCAAGATTAGAATTTTGGGCCAAAAAATAAAAATGTTCTCATAAAAACCTTTAGCCATTACTAAGGTTTATATTGTGCCTATTGCTTTAAAGGGTATGACAAAGCATTAGATCTATAAAGCAGTGTTTCACGCACAACTGCAGCATGTTATATGGTATGTTTTGATAAGCATGGCAGGATTAGCTCTACATGCTAAAGATGTGTGCCAAGTAGCTAGAATGTAAAACTTCTTCCTGGACAATTATCAAAAACATTAATCCGCCTTTCCAGAAGTCGCCTTGCATTTGCTTCCTGGTGAGAAGAATCCAACCCAACTTATTTACTGTAACTTTATCTGTGGAATGAAACACACGTGGAAAGAAAGTGCTGAGGTCTACTAACAGTTAATGTTTGTGTTTAAAGATATGTTGCATGTAGAAATGCCATGATAAACAAAAGTAAAGGGAGGTGGATGTTTTTTGGTTCATCAAAGTACATCCTAATTCACTCTCCTCAATTCATTCAACATTTTAAAAACAAGCACAGATGGATAATGGTTTGCCAATTATAAGCTACAGTTTTTGTGTGAACCAGATTACTGGAATTAAGAGAAATGAAAAGAGACAAAACAAAAAGCACATCATATGAGAAGAAGAAGAATGCAAACTGAAACATAATCTCAGGATATAATCTCAGCTCTTTACAGTTTCAGATATTAGAACATCCAAGATGCAAAATGTTACCTACTTCCCAAATATTTAAATCACTCAATTGGGACTGAATATGTATATATTACAACAAATTAACAAATGAAAGTTTATTTATCACAGTATAATTAAAATACAATGCTTTCTAATTGCAATGCTGAAGCATTGTATGCAACTGTTTGCATCCCAGGACAGAATGTATGAAGGGGTAGTCAGATATAAAATAACCATATTAAAACCAGTAGGCCTGTTGTCTCCAACTCTCTTTTGCAATTTATTAAGCCTAGATGAAAATTTTATTTCAACTTTACCTCTTATCCAATCACCCTCTGATGCTCCCTTATGAGCCCCTGTGCTACACTACTGCTGTGGCCAGTCATCATCCAGGGATGGTAAATAACTTAGTTTTTCAAATTTTAGACATAATTTATTCCATTGCCCTAATTAATGTGAAGATTGTTGCTAAAAAGCAAAAGTCTCATTTAAATAGAGGCTCTATGGTTATAACTTCAAACTGAAAAATACAGGATCATCTTTCTTCTGCGAGGTCATCAGCTAAAACCTAAAACTGCAAGATCCCAAGAGATCAGGGAGCAGTACCCTTACTTCACACCCCTTTCAAACCACCTGTCTTCTTTATCCAAAAGGTAAACATTCTGGTCCTCAAATGAGTGTACTTTGTCCTTAAGGTGTGGGTGGACAGCAGAGTCTCGTCCGGAGGAGGTAACTCTCCTGTGTTGAGACATGCGGCTTTTGAAAGGTTGTTTGGTTTCTCCAATAAACCTCTAAATGTTGAGGTTTCCATCTCCTTCCACACTAACCAAACAGTTCAGAACTGTTGGAATGACTATCATCTGGATGACAGAATCTTCACCAGCACATTGGTGATGCCAATGGTTAGCGTTGTGCAAAAGATATCAGGAAAGTAAAGAACGGAGAGCAACATGGAAGGGAGCCAGGGCGTAGTCAGGGTACTTTTTGTCCGTGCAAATCTCTCTCATAAGCGCTGCGTCTTGTTTATCGAATGCAGGGAAAGTTGCTTTTGCAAGCCTGACTGGTGCACTGTTGTGACATCTGTACATCAATGATCTCACTTAAACTAGCAGGTCAACCTAGGTCTGTTGTTTTCACCGTATGCGGTTTGGAGCCAAGCCATTTGAAGGCGATTTTAACCCCAGGTTGCTTGCCGAGTCATTTGACCCGGCTCAATACAGGTCAGTGAGCCATTCCCACTGAACCTGAAAGCAGATTGTTTATAGGTTTAAACTGTTCTTTTTTTTGGCTATTGGAAAAGGGGTATTGAAGAGGTTACTAAACTAAGCTCTTCTTCCTGCTGCCATTGATGTTTTACTCACAACCTTCCATAAGAAAGCTCTAGCTGTTTTTACGGCTGATTTTACTTGAATATTAAACACATCCTTTTTTTTTTCAACTATCAAACTGATGTTGAAAAAGAGTAACTGCTGTTGAAGGGGATTTCCAGTGACAGTGCACTGCTGTTGTACAGGGGTTTTGTGCTGGTCCGAAAGCAAAATAATATTTGAAGGCAGAATCGAATGACTGCACAAATTAAGTTTTGAGGTGGACTTTCTCACTTAAAAACATAAAAACTTCCTTTTAGCCACTTTTAACAGCAAATATAGCAAAGCCACTCTCTGCTATTGAGCACAGGAGCATCAGATGCATCTGGGCACACTTTACTGGACGCTTTCAGGAGCATCAAGGATGCTCTTGTGGCACGTTGGACCTTAAAATGTACAAGCATCAAAAAACAAGCAGCAGGCACTTTTTTGCTGCTTCTATCACGTGAGTCTGAATGTAGCGTAACAGCGACCAGCTGCTTCAACGTCTTCCAATCAGGCTGTGGAAGAACCACAGCGCTGGTATTATTAGTGCCGTATTACACACTGCCAAACACTCCATTTTATTAGACTGCCTAGAAAACTGGGGATGCATTTTTTGGTACATCAATGGATTGGTTTAAATATAACATAACAAAGACAGAGCCTCTGTTATCTCAGTAAGTAACCTTTTGCCAGAGACTGTGTTTTGTTTTAGCTGTTACATTATGTCTTTATCAGTATGTACAGAAATAAAAAGATACTGTTGAGAAAGTAAGAAAGGGTATGAGGCGAGAGTAATGATATAGCTGCTTCATCGGACAAACAAAACTAATGACTTTTCTGCCTATTATGCATCTAATATGTTGTTCAAAGCAGAAATAAAAAATGTTGTACCCCATCCTATCTTTATTCCGCTCCCTCAGTGATGTAGTGGGTAGCACTGCTGCCTTGCAGCAAGAAGGTTCTGGGTTCAATTCCCTGCCAGGGGTCTTTCTGTACGGAGTTTGCATGTGCTCCCTGAGCATGTGTGGGTTCTCTCCGGCTTCCTCCCACAATCCAAAAACTTGTTGACTGTTAGGTTAATTGGCTTCTCTAGATTCTCCTTAGGTGTGAGTGTGAATGGCTGTATGTCCTGTGTTGCCCTGCGATGGACTAGCGACCTGTCCAGGGTGGACCCCGCCTCTCACCCGTAGACAGCTGGAGATAGCCACCAGCACCCCTCGCTCCCTCAATTGGGACAAGTGTGTGTTATTAGTGTGCATGGATGGATGAAGAATGTCAATGAGTTTAACTTGACTAAAGCTCACATAGATATTGCTCAATTGGGACAAAAACATTTTTTTGTTTTTTTTTTTACTAGTAGTAAAACTGGAATGGCTGCCAAAAACAACATTGTCAAGGTTGCCTTCTTCCATGATAAGGATCAGAAAAGACAGAGTCATGATGCATTTGCTTCCTGATTTTGTCAAAACCCAACCCATTTACTGTATATTCACCTGTAGAAAGAGACACTTCTTAAACTTCTTAAGTCAAGTTTTCTTTCTTTTTATGAAAGTACAGTTTATTTATTCATTCTTCTTACAAAGATACAGCAACACTTAAGAAATAAAAATTATTGCATAATAACAATATTTACCATCATTGTGCTATATTTATACCTGTAAACAGATTACTGGCATGTTGACTTAGACAGAGAAGAAAAGAAACTCCAACCAATGAACAGATCAGACGAAACACAGAACGGGAGAATTAAAGGTGGAGTCTAACATGCAATGGACACAGAGAGAACATACTGGAGCACAGCTTCATTTAGAAACAAGGCAACCAAACAGACAGGTACAATCTTTGTTTATTTATCACTTTATAATTCTGAAACAGAATTTCTTAGGGTAAAAATGTAATCCTTAATTTTTATATTGAACAGAATGCTTTTTGTTGCCGTCTTTGTTCTACTTGCTGCTTTTGCTGCTGCTGACCGTAAGTCTGCGTTACTAAACTTGAGTTAAAAACAACAGACTTAGAGCTTGTGAAAACATGTACTTTATATAATTATACAAATATTTTATTTGTTCGTCATTTTTTATGCATCTGTTTTTAAAGCGATCTTGTTTCTAAAGGGTGATGTTTGCTTTTGTCTAATTCCAGGACAGCCTCAATATTCGTTTTCCCCACCGGTGGGGGATGGAAACGGCAACTCTTACATGATAACAGGAGAGGGACGGATCACTGCTGTGAGAGTTTGGGATAGTTATTGGAGCTTCATCAGAGGGTACATAAATAAGAAATATTTAGATATTCCTCTACATCTTTAGTTAGAGGTGTAGTTGTATAGAGCAGTTTTTGTTTTCTGCAGTACCTCATATATTTTTTCTTACTCTACAGCATCCAGTTTCGATATGGTTACATCTGGTCCCCTGTTGCTGGTCATGTATCCGGTGAAGCCAAGGAGATTGAGTTGTTTGAAGGAGAAGCCATTGTCCAGATTTCTGGAAAGTATTCCCACCATTTGTCTTCTGTGGTTTTTACTACCAGCCGGGGTCGCTCCCTGCATGCCGGTCAGCCCTCTGGCTATTCCTTCAACATGTACCCCAAACACCCCCAGGCAGAGCTGGTCTTCATCAGCGGCCGGTTTGACAGCGGGATAACCTCCCTGGGAACCCATTGGGCGATTATCAATCCATCCTTCAATCCATCCAATAAAACTAAAGGACATTAAAGAGAAGATGAGGGGACAACATAAATTAAGGGCTCTATAATTGCACTGTTGAATAATGAAGTGGTAATTTAGATAT